TTTGTATTGTGAAGTATTAGTATGGCAGTGTAATAGCTTGTGATATGCGAGGTGTATATGTTTTGATGAAAAGTACAGTAGAATAAGCTTGAGGTGCAGAGACTGACAGTCTTGCACAGCTGAAGGGTTATTTCATGTGATGTGTTTCTTCAAATGAATGTGTGTCACCTTTTAATAAGCACTCCAGAAAACATTGTTTTTATTAAAAGAACCTTACAGCTACATTTCTTTCCTAACAATATTACATATAACATTGTTTGAGGAATTAAATCCATCAAATTGTGGCCACAGTCAGATATTGACACATTTGGGTAGCATATTCAGTGAAATCAGAGGCTGCAGGTTTCAAAGGCAAGTGTTCAAAAACCTGCAGATGGCTCAGTTCAAGTCCAAATGATAAGTGTCCTCCCCACAGAGGACACTACTCAGACAGTCCAGACCTTCATGGGACCAGATGCTACCTGGCCAAGGCTAAAGACCTCTGCAGTTCTTCAAGGTGATTATTTGCCTGTGTGATCATCATCCGAATGGCATCCTAAAAAGATGGTATATGGCATAAATATGAATTGCGTAATACCCTTAATGAATCTTCATCCCTAACCCCTTAAATACATTGTTCTAAAATAGTTATCACTTTGGACTGTGCGCATTTACCGGATCAGTGGCGCTCTTGTTCCTCTTGAACTCGTCCCTGGCCCAGTCTCTGAGGTACTTCTGGTCAGCCGGATCTGGGACTTGTCGGATTGTCCTTAACATGTTCCTGTAGATCCCCAAAACCTTTTGTCGCTGCAAGAACTGCAAACAACCAAGGGTATGACTGTTTTTCCTGGTGACTGTTACCATAACTAACCCATGTCTTAATACTGGACTTTGTTGATCAAATATTTCTTGGGAATTTTATTTATTTATTTTTTGTCGCAACAGAATTTTCCCTTCGGGTGTCATACAAACTACAGTACATACAATTGAGATGACGGACCACAAAATATGGTAATTCTAAATGAATCAATAAACCATGTCGCTTAATATTTACAGCATGAATGGGCGTGCAGCGTAGAGTAGCTGTTAAAAAAGTTAGCGATTTGTCTTTTATCCCCTATGTAATGCTTATAGACTTATAACGCAAATAGCAGAAAAGGTTTAAACGCTGACTTATAAAGGGTTTCATACCTGTTTGAGAGAAAGAGCCGCTATGGGTAACCTTGTGCCGGCCATGTTTATTCAGCCGGATGTTTTGATCATGATGTGTACTAACTCATGGAAAATATGAATGCTGCCACCTACCGGGACGGAGGGGCATGGGTATCAGAATTTGTCATCAAAATTCTAAAACGAACTCTAAACACACACACACACACACACACAAAAAACCCAAAACAAAACAACAAACACTGCAACATAAACAGTTCTGATGTGTTTATTGCTAGAGATGCAGCATAGACACATGATTTACAGATCATTTACATATATACTGTATGATCGAGACGAAGGAGGATTCAGACAGGAGCAGAGTCCTAAAAAACATTTGATATTTTCACATTTCAGAATATCAAAACAGATATGGGATTCTTTCTTGTCTAAGGCACTTTTGCGACAGTAACCTCTAAATTACAGTATGGTCCATTTAGTATAGAGTCCAGAAAGGCACATTAGAATGATCATTGATGCGCTGCAGTAACCAGCTCAAACCACTGCCTCAAAGCATCGCTCAGAGTTTCAGGCAGCACATTCACATCTCGGAGAATCACGTAAAACGGGAAAGGAAACTCATCCATATAGGAGCGGATCTCTGGCATCTGTCCCGCCTCACCAAATATGGGCACCTTGATGTCCAGAATGGAATCCTGCCGCAACACAAGAAACCGTCAACAAGGTCACACAAATGCTTAGTAACTGCTAATTAATGGTATTATTTGCCATTGCTTACTCTGGAGTTTGGATTGTCCAGAACCACAAAGATGATAAAGATATTGGCACTGCGAGCTGCTCTCACTGCAGCGGTCACCTTTTCCTTCCCCTCGAGGAACAGCCCGCGGCCATCGGACACCACCAGCAACAGCTGGGCAGTCTCTGTGGATACAGATGTCATTATTTAATAAAGACCAATATAATACAGGCACATAAATGATATAAAATATTTTTTACTGAAATCTAGTCATAGTCTTTGGTAAAAACACAATGGAATTATGCAAATTAGTGTGAACGATTTTCGTTTTACTCCACCAAAATTTCAGAATTGCACCTTAAATTTGCCACAACAAAGAAACATTTTGGCAAACATTTACCTGACATTGTGGATGCTGGAGAGTGTGGTCTTGATGCCAAAAACACTTTTGTCAATGTTTCCAAAAACTGTACACACAAAAGCAGAGAATGCACATGATGTCTACATTACTTACATGGAAAAAGAATCATGCATGCCTGAAGTATTACCTGAGCAATCCTAGTTTTTTTCTGCTGAAATTGACACAGTCTGAGGATACGAGCTCCAGATTCATCATTGAACTGCTGCTGGAATGGATGAAGAAGCTGTACCTCTTCACCAAAACTGGAGAGAACATGTTCCACATCAGCCAAAAGAAGACTTTTGAGTTAATTACACAGAGGACAGAGGCAACAGAGGGGACACTTACCTGCACACAGCCACCTGACCCACCTCCAGCAGTGTCAGGGCATTGACGATGACTGACAGGGACTCAAAGGCCATCTAACACATGACAAAAAGAGAAACAAAGCAGCCATTATAGTTTAGGCATCTGGGTTGTTTTCAGTGATGTCAAAAGCAAAGTCACTCCGTGGTTCAGACCTGTTTGGAGTGATTGTCCACCATACTCGAGGAGTCGTCCAGGGCTAAACAAATCTGGTACTCCCGTTTACTAGGTTTGGTTCTGCGCAGCCAGATCTTATCTTTGCGAAACTGGCTGGCAATGTACGGGATGACCTTCCTCATGTTAAGGCGCTTTCCAGTCCGATAGTCCCCCCTGAAACACAACTCAGTTAAGGGATGCAGCAAACCCATGAATGATTTTAGGCAGTGGATGGACTGACCTGAGTTTAGCTGCCTGAGTAGGCTCCAGTATAAGGCGCAGCTGCTCACAAAGCTGCTGTGACAGGCCTGAGGTTACACTCTGGTATTGTTGCCACAGACAGGCTGCTGCCCCCACCTGAACAACACAAACATTACATCACTCTGATACAAAGTAAGATTGTCCTATGTACTAAAAGCACCAAGTTAGAAAACTCACCTCCTCAGGGCTTCCTGCAGGAAGCTTGTGGCAGACTTCAAGCAGTTTTTCCATTTCTCTTCTCATCTCCTCTGGATCTTGGTCTGCTCTCTGCAAACATAAACATAGTGTTGAAAGTGAGTTGAAATCATTCACAGGTTTGATGTAGTTTGAAATGAAAGCTGCCATTATGACGTACTTCAGCAGACTCTAATAATAACTCAGGGATTGTGTGGATGGTGGACTCTGTATTTCTCTGTTTTAAATCATCTCTACTGAATAACTGTTTGTCCTTCCAGTTGTCTTGGTCCTCTTGGCTGTCTACCAGCGTCTGGACATCCATGTCTTGACTGTCACCTCCTTCACACACAGGACAGAGCAGGCAAGAAGTGGTTTACAGAGGCCCAGAACAAATTATTATTATTTTTTTTTATTTGTGCTACCTTTTTGTTGTTTAATGTTAGTTGTGTCTTGCTTGTCAGGGTTTAAAGTTGGAACTTCAGCACTCTGAAGCTCCTCCTCCTCCATTTCCATAGCAACCTCATCATCCTGCTCTTGATCCTTCTGGGGACCTGCTGCTTTTTGCTGTTCTGCACTGGCAACATCTGAAAGGCAGATTGTTTTGTTTAACACCTTTTTACAGTGAAATGCTGCGTAAGAAAAACATTCTTCACTTGCAGACCATTACACAGGTGCAATACTGACCATATGTCTGTGCATCATAGGTGCTTTCTCCCTGCCTGATGTGCTCATACAGATCAGATTCCTGTTGTACTTGATTTTCTCCCTCAGTACGGGCATCCCTCTGCTCTGAGGACCTGTCCATGGTTCTCAGACGCTTGTTGATACGCTCATTGTAGTCTCCAGTGGTGCGTTCATTATCTGCCTGACCAGGCTTCCTCTTGTAACTCTGCAAAATGTATGTAAAACGTTAAGGAAACCATTTTAGGTGCAGCATCAACCAATCAAACAGTAGAGTCAGAGTATAGTCAGATCCCATACAAACACTGTACCTGAGTTTGTTTCTCTGTCTGACGCTGTGAGGCCATTTGTGCTGTGAGTTGAGACTGGTGTCCTTCAGACTGGTTGGCGTCAGCAGCTCCACTCCCATGTTCCTGAGGGTCACAAACAGATAAGGACTTGCATAGAGGATATGACACTGCTCTACAGGAGAACAATCACCTCTTTGGCCTGGTCCCTTTCAGATGCTTCTCCTCCCAGCTCAACAGCTGTGTCACTCTGAACGTTCTGCTCTCCAGTCTGCCCGTCTGCACTGTGCTCTTTTCTCTCAGTTGACTCTAGCTGTTCTTCGTCACCCTGCTGTTCCTCTTGGTCCTGAGAGAGAACACACATAAAACGTTGTATTTAATCAGCTTTTGCTAATATTGAAGTGAAAACATTTGAACAGGGGATGTACCTTTGGTTCTTGTCCTTGATAGTTTGGAACAATGCAGTCTTCCTCTTTAACCGGGTCTGTCTCCCCTTTGTCTTCTCCTTCGTGTTTCTCATCAGACTCCCGGTCTCCTTCCTCTTCCTCTTTTCTCTCTTCTTCCTCTGCTCCATCGTTCTGCTCTCCTGGTTGTCCGTCCTGATTGGCCTCCTCTGCCTGCTGTTCAGGAAGCTCATCCATGTTCTCTGCTCCTCTATCCTCCTCTTCCTGACCCTCACCTTTCTCATCCATGTCCATATTTTTATCATCAATGTCAAATGGATTCTCCTCTGTCATAAAAACAGCAAAAGATGTGACCAAACTACTCTAATTTCTCATATAATATAATATATAATCATCTTTTGCATAATCTTCCAAAAAATAATTTGGGAGCAACAATATTTTGTTAAACCAATAGAATAGATTGTATATACTGATTTTGTGGACATTATATTGACTGTGTGGACATGACCAATAACACGAGAGTTGAAAAGCAGGACACTGTGTGCTTTGCACAGTTTTCCAATTTCCAAACATAAACATATTTCAATTTACAGCTTTATTTTTTCTTTTATATCTTACCATCCCCGTCATTGTCATCTCCACCCTCATCCTCCCGATCCAGGTTCAGATCCTCTGGTAAATCCATAGCTTCAGGCTCTGGCTGTTTGTCTTGTTGTCCATGATATGGGTCCACTTCATTCTCATCAAACTCCCTCTGAGGCAGCAAACACACAGGTGTGAATACACAGTAATTTCAACCTAAAGTGGAGTCTAATACAGAAACAGCCCCACCTGATCGCCCTGCTCATGGATCTGCTCCTTTTCTTTCTCCTCATCAGGTTCCTCCTTGTCCTGATTTTTTCTATCCTTGTTGGGTTCAGCAGCATCCAAGTTGTCATCTTTGGCCACCAGTTCAGAATCACCCTGAAAAAACAAACAAGACGGTAAGAATGGACAAATAAAACATTGCTATTCTCCTTTGAGTTACCATACTGCACCTGGTCCATCCCCTGCCCATACTCTTCCTCCTTCTCGCTGCCTTCCTCTGCATCACTGTCATCATCTCCCCACAGCCTCTCGTCCAGGGTGTCTGTTTGCCCTTCACCCAAGTCGCCCATCTTTTTGTCCAGCTCTTCCTCCTCTTCTTCGTCTGACTTATCATCCTCACCTACAAATTTAAACTTTTAGCAATTAATTGGATTAAAAGTAAATAAGCATTATGTAAATACAGTATGTAGTTGTGTATAATACCCCTTTCTTCTGGATCCCCATCATTCATCTGACCATCAAAGTCCTCAGACATTTCTATAGCATTGTCTTCAGATTTAATGTTTCCTTGATCTTGTTGTTCTTCCTTTTCCTGCCCATCCTTCAATGTGTCTTCCACCTGCAAAAATATGGTTACATTAAAAAAGTGACTATAAAAATATAACTCAAAAATGAAACAACTCTAGAAAATGAAACCTACACTTGCTGTGTTTATTTGATACAAAACAAATATTCTCTGCCCCCAGTTAAGTTAAGTTGTATATTATACATACAGTATTGTTGTATGTTTCTTGTGGATATTAATTTTTTGTTTACTTTCCTTCAGCTGCCTATTCTCATTAGGACTACTCTTTAAACCACTTTTAAACCACAATTATCTGCATCCACTAACAAATGACACATGCAACTTTATTTCTTACCTGATCTTCATTTTCAATTTTGTCACTGACATCTTTGTTGCCTTCTCCCTCTCCAATTCCTCCGCCTTCATAGTCGTGAAATTCAGTGGCACCTTCCCCATCTCCTCCAGCAATCAGTTCTTGAGGTAGGCAGAAACCCTGTGGATAACAAATTTAAAACTGAGTTATACTATCACAAAATATACTGTTTAATAGAGTGACCAGAATTTCAAAATCAAAAACTGGGACACTCTTGGTTTGGGGTGCTTGATAATAATAAAATTACGAAACGAGTATATAAGAAAAATTGTTATGCACTCGGTGAGTCAGTATAGTCACATTTTCTTTGTGCTTTGGAAAATTTTAAGCAGCTTTTCTGTACTTTACTGAAACAAATGACAATTTATGCCTCTCTTTACTGTCGGCAGGTATCAAATTGTGTAAAACTTGGACAAATCAATGGTTTGGTCATCAACAGGTGACACTGGGCTCAAAACTGGGACTGTCCTGGGTAAATAGTCTGGTCATCCTACTCTCAAACCTTCTACATGGGGTGACCAGTAAAGAGAGGCATACATTGTCATGTGTTTAGATAAACTACAGAAAAGCTGCTTAAAAATTACAAAACACAAAGAAAATGTGACTTTACTCACCAAGTGCATAACAGTTTTTCTTAATTACGCACTCATTTCACAATTTTATTATTATCAACCCAAACCAGGGAAGTCCTAGTTTTTTATTTTCAAAATCTGGTCAGTTTGCTGCAAGCATTTTTGTGATATAATAAAGAAGGTACTACATCCATTTTAATTTCATATCCGAGACTGACAATCCATATAGTTGATTATGTTTACCGACAACGTTATTATCTGTGCAAACTGCGATGTTGGTGTTAAACTATCAAACATGATCTATTAAATTATCAGTGTTTTGACGGTTGTTCCCTCCTATTCATGCGTCATTGCGTCACTCTGAAGACGCTCGCTGGACGCGTCCATTCCACTTCAAGCTACAACCGATTTTTATAATTTTATAGTGCCAAGCCTGTAACTCGTGATAATATCGTGATAATATCTGCAATCTGTATACCTTTACTTTAGGTATGCACGCTAATATAATACAACAATTCTTTACAGCAGCGCATTTTACACTGGTGGTATCGCCCAATGACGTCGTATTTGTGCGCTGTCGAATCAAAATACAGGCAGAATACAGATGGGTCTCACAAATTTTAAGTTTTAACTAACACAAAGCATGTTTTTAGTATTATATCACATCATTAGTCATTATGGAACATATATTATTACCGGGAACGCTTTAACGTTTGCGTATTTCAAGGCTTTTTGACGAACATTGACGGACAAAGCAATGGCTCCTTCCGCATGTCGAGCCTGCGGAGGATCCGACATCGATATCGACCAGGCCCGGGGAAGCGCTGTGTGCACGTCCTGTGGCTCAGTGCTTGAAGACAACATCATAGTCTCAGAAGTGACTTTTGTCGAGGGAAGTGGGGGCGTCTCTTCTGCAGTTGGGCAGTTTGTCTCGTCCCAAGGGCCTGCCAAGACTCCTCAGCTGGGCTCTGGGTTTCACTCTGGCCTGGGCAAAGAGTCCAGGGCTCAAACGCTACAGAATGGGAGGCGTCAGATCCAGTCTTTGGGGAGCCAGTTACAGCTGAATCAACACTGCTTGGACACAGCTTTTAACTTCTTTAAAATGGCGGTCAGTAAGCAGTTGACCCGAGGCCGAAAGACCCAGCATCTCATTGCAGCGTGCCTTTACTTGGTGTGCCGTACTGAAGGCACACCACACATGTTGCTGGACCTTAGTGACCTACTTCAAGTCAACGTGTACATTCTGGGGAAAACCTTCTTACTTTTAGCTAGAGAACTGTGCATCAATGCCCCGGCCATTGACCCTTGCCTGTATGTCCCACGCTTTGCTCACATGCTGGACTTTGGGGAGCAGACCCACCAGGTGTCCATGACTGCTCTGCGCCTGGTGCAGAGGATGAAGAGGGACTGGATGCATACAGGTCGCCGGCCATCAGGTCTGTGTGGAGCTGCTCTGCTAGTGGCTGCACGCATGCACAAGTTCCACCGCACTGTGAAGGATGTGATCAGTGTGGTAAAAGTCTGCCAGGCTACACTTCGTAAGAGGCTGACAGAGTTTGAAGACACACCCACCAGTCAGCTGACTATTGATGAGTTCATGAAAGTGGACTTGGAGCAGGAGTGTGACCCGCCATCATTCACGGCTGGGCAGAACAAGAACAAGATGCAGCAGCTGGAGCAAGAGTTGGCAAAGAAACTTGACGAGGTGGTGGAGGGAGAAATAAGCTGTTACAAAGATGAATTGAGACTGAGCTTGAGAAAAGCCGGCCCAAACTCAGAGGTATCTATGCAGCATATACTAAGCACATTGACCCAGAGGACAAGGAGTCTGTAATCTCAGATATAGAAGAGCCTGATGCTGAAGTTACAGCCCAGCAGCTCACTGAGAATTTTCTTTGCCAAGTTATCCAGGAGGAGACTGGGCAGGGTTCTGGGCCTGCGGGGCTGGCTGCAGGGTCAGAGGAGGCTGGAGTGGGGCTTGTGAGACCAACAGCTCCAATTACATCCATCCTTGGGACACTGAGCAGTGCTCTCTCAGAGACTAGTAAGAAAGCAACAAAAGATGAGGAGTCTGAAGGAGAGCTGGACCTGAATGGCATTGATGATCAAGAAATAGACAAGTACATCCTGAATGACAGAGAGGTGGAGGTGAAGACAGCACTGTGGATTAAGCAGAATGAGGAATATCTTCGGGAGCAGAAAGAAAAGGAGGAGAGAATCCAGAAAGAGAAAGAACAGGGCACATACAAAGAGAAACCAAAGAAGTCTCGACGGCGGCCAGCTCAGATTGAGGCACAGACAGCTACGGAGGCCATTGAAAGGATGTTGGAGAAGAAAAAGATTTCCAGTAAAATAAACTATGATGTGCTGCGAGATTTGAACCGCAGTGACACAGGAAGTCCCGTCCCTGAAACAGGAAACAGTGCCATCAACGTGGCTGCTGATCCTGAAAAGAAATGCCTTAAACGGCAGAGAAACCGCAAAAATAAAGATCACAGCAAAGGGTTGGCAGCTACAGCTAGCAATATGGGCAAAAGGCTTCGCCCACTTATTCCTGCCTCCACCAAAAAGAAAAAAGCTTTCTTGGGAGCTGATCATACAGGTACCACAACAACTGCTTCATCAGAGGCCACACAGCCTTCTGCTCATGAGTCCACCCCACCTCCAGAGCCCTCTCCTGCTCAGCCTCCTGAACCCATCCCTCCCGAGCTCCCCCAGGTGGAGGACCCCCACACTGAAGAGGAGGAAGAGGAAGAGGAAGAGCAGTGTGTAAGTGCACTCAAACTCATAGGTGACTATGGCTGTGATGAGGAAGAGATCTATTAGCACTCACTCAACTCCATGAACTAATAACATGAAAATACAAAGTATGCTGCCTACTGAATTTGTGTAAATATTATTCATGTAAGTACATGTAAATTTATTAGTATTAAGTTACCATATATGTAGAGTTTCTGAACGAGAATATGAATGTTCGTTACCTTTTGTCTGACCACTTTATAAAGCTTTTATAAAGGATGTTTTTACCTTTAAGAGTCTGTCACACAACAGATTTTAAATTGCTGTGTTGTTAATATGTCATCTGATGAATCTGATCTTTTTCAATATACAAACATGTTTTTTGTAGACCTTAATAGCCACAAGTGATAATGATTTTAGTATTATTTTGTAACTGTGTAAATTGTTTTGTTTTTCCCATAATTGAACTAAAATACTACATGCAAGTACAACTAAATGTTTGAACAAATAAAATTTACAGAAAATATCTGTATTATGTCAATGTGTTAAGGAAGTGGAATAGTCTAGGACAGCCTATATTTACTAACAGTGTTATAACTGTGACAATGGCAATATTCAAATTCAGAAAAATAAACAGAATGACAAGTGGATACTAGTCATACACTTTTCTACTTTTAAGGCACTAAGGGTTTTACTTCAAGAAACCACTTACTCATTCACACACGTTCATACACCAGTGTACACAGACACTGAAGGCGAGGGAGGTTAAGTGTCTTGCCCAACAGCAACGGTATTCATCTCTACAAGCTGCAATTGCCCCACCTGCCTGTGGATCAGTGGATCTGACCACTCGATTAACAATGTTTACGGAGACCGGAATTTTAACCAACCTACTACTGTCACTTGGTAGCCTAATGTAAAGATAAAGTTCAAAATAATGGACATGAAAAGTAATCTGAATTTGTTTTTAGACTTAGTAATCATAATGTTTTGAGTGGAACTGACTTGGGCATGCCTAGTGAGGATGTTGATAGCACTGACCTTCTGAGCGAGCTCTGTGAAGATGCTGCTCAGCACAGACAGGAGTTTGCCAGTGCTCCTGTGGACTCCCACTGATACAGACAAAAAGAAGCGCACCAGGTCTGAATAAGTGTCCAACACTGGCTCCAGACGCAGCAGCATTCTACATGCTCGGTTCAGCTCCTGCGAAAGACCACAATCACAAATGAGTGCACTCATTGAGGCTCAATGTATCCCTGCTCAACACTAACCTGAGGCATACATTTAAAATTTCCTTAAGAAAAGTAATTGGGACTTTTAATAATAATAATAATAATAATAACAATAATAATAATAATAGTGTACACCTGTGCAACTTGTTAATGTCAGATGTTTTGCTGGTCTGTTACCTGGATCTGTGCGGGTAGACAAGAATCTCTGTAGCACCTCAGATGGAGGAAGAGCCTCTCCAGACCTGAATTCACTTCTCCCACTCGCAATGCCTCTACCTGGGCCTCCAGGTCCTCCTGCAGCAAAGGACTCAGATGGCCTGGTTTTAGCAGTTCCTCCGCTGCTTCTCCCACTTCTTCGTCCAGGTCTCCCTCTGCAGGCTCTATAGAGTAATATTTCTAGTCCAAATCTGTATAAAATCTTACCACAATTATGATTAATATTGATACCTCTCTTTGTGTCTGGTTGAATTTCCTGTCCACGTCTCTTCACCAGTGCCTGAACGGCACACAGCACTATGTTGAGGTGTGTTTCCAACTCAGCAGAGAACTCAGAGCAGAAGACAGACTCTGGTGCTGTATAACATGTACAATTTCAATGAATGACATATACAACAATATAATTTTTTTATACAGATACCTGTGGGCTGTGCTCCCAGGGTTAGAAACTGGGTTTTCCATGTGGTGAAATCTGTTATAGCTGCCTGCACCTGCTCTCTGAGCATCTGCAGGCCCTGGATGATGGCTGGTGGACTCTTGCCTCTGCCTAGGGCCTGTGAGGGCAGAAAGAGCTTCTCCACCTGAGGAAGTGCACTCACTGCAGAGTTGAGACGCTCAAAAGCAGTGCAACATGAGTCAAGGTGAGTCCTGTGGAAATAGTATTGAGTGGATTCTTTGATTCTTTCAGTTGGTGGATACATAAAATATTATAAGTGATTACATTATTCTTAAACATTAAAACAGACTTCCCAAATCAGTAGATGTGTATGTTATGGTATTTGGGAACAGGTTATGTATCAAATTTTCATGCTCTCACCATGTGTGCAGTGCCCCCTCTGAGGCTTGCTGGGCTATACTGTTTAGCTCAGCTTTGAGGTTTTCAGTTTGGTTCCAAAGGAAAGTGACATGTTGGTTATGCTGGCTCCATTCAGCAGATCCCCGTTTCCTTAAACATTTTGCAGGCTGCTGTTGCTCGGTCAGAGGGGACGGACAACTCAGACCCCCTTCAAGGCTCTGGTGCTCCTCTGGACAGGCTTGCAGCAGCCATGACAGCTGCTGAAGAGCCAGAGAGCATTGCACAGTGAGGGCTTGGGCTCTGCTCACCCAACCCTGCAGAGAGGCCTGTGGGGGCAGAGGACAGCCTGGGTCCACATCAGAGTTTAAACTATGGGCCTTCAGATTCTTGAGACTGGTCCTGAGCCGTCTGGTCAGAGGGGATAAAATTTTCAAATACTAACATTCTACAGCACAATGTGTGAATAGTGCTGAGAAAACACAAGGTGAGAGCTGACCTCAGGTGAAGCCAGTTCTCAGTGATTTTACAGAGTTGGCGTCTCTGTCGCAGCAGCAGGTGAAACAGGTGAGATGAGAACCCCTTACAGCGCTCCAGGTTTCCTAGGCCCAGCTCCTGTAACATCACAAAATCAGTACAAACACACTGTCCGCTAGGAAGGTGCCACAGAGCCTTAAACTAAAGAAACTGACTTTAGCTGCATGCTGCAGAGCAGTCTGCAAAGCAGTTCTTCTGGCCCATGAGCGATAGAAGTACTTCTGGCTGGCCTCAAAGGTTGACAACAAAACAGGAAATAATCTGTTGAAGAGAAAAAAAATGATTTATTTCAGTTTTTATTAAAAGTAAATCCTGCAAATGTAAGAGCATAATGGCTAGGCAGATATTTGTAGCATACAATGGGTTTATTACACTGCTTTAATAGATCTGAGGTTATAGGGACATATGCAAGAAGGCAGGGATAATACACAGGTACAGTTCTTGTACAGTGGCACTCTATAAAGCTAAAACCAGATGTGTGTACCTGCTCTCAGATTCCTCCTGTTTTAGGACAGCAGATAGAGCAGTGGACATCTCCAGTGGAGGCACACAGAGCACCTGCTCAGGTTGCACAGTCCTGTTCCAGGCCAGACCTCGGCGATATGACAGCCCTACGCAGAGGAGTCCACAGATAATTCAAGTAGAGTACAAGTTAGGATGGTCTATAAATTGGTGCTTGTATTGGTACTGAAAGCCTTTCCCCTCAAATTAAAGTACCAGCCCAATGTTGAAAATATAGCTTATATTTTTTCTAAACATTGCCCCGGTCGTTTTCTACGTCATTTTTATCTTTTTTAAAGACTTGGCTATAGATTTTAAAATCCAGATATTGATAGATACAAAAATCAGTTTTTAGCAACAGCAGCAATAGCAGGTTATCCCCATCTAAAATCTGTGGAAACTGTGCAGAACTCACCTATTTCATTCAGCATCTTGAATAGGTCAGACAGCGCCCTCTGCTTCTGCTGTAGGATGTGCTTGACTTCTGACTTCTGTCGGTCTTTGTCCGCAGAGGGGTTAATGGTGAGGGCCTGGAGTTCGTGCATATTGCGGATAATCTCACCTTAACAAGTGCAAATCGAAAAGTTTAATAGATTCAATCATCAAATGACTTATGTAAATGTTAAAATGTATTTACCTGTGAATTGGTCCAGATCTTCTGCTAGCTCTGGGGCAGGGTTACTCTTCAGTAACTCACCACACATTTTCTTCATCTTTCTGTTCAGAACAGGCAAACGTTCATGGAGAGAGGAGCCACCTAGTAATTCCTCTGAGTTCTAAAAAAATAATTATTAAAAATCTATAAATAATTACAGCTGTCACAGTGTATTGCATGTGAGACAGGTGAAAAATGTATTCTATCAAATATCCCAGGGACTACCTGAATGTCAGAGACTCTCTGGGGGCTCCTTGTCAGCTCCTGATGAAGCCTCTGGATGGGTGTCTCCTCTGGACCATTGTCAACATCATTTCCCTGTTCTACAAGAGATGGGATGCTGGGGCCATTCAAGGCCTCTTCAAACTTTCTCACAAATCTGAAGAGCGTTCTGTGGGTAACATGCACATTTGTGTATGCTGTTTACAGGGGCTACAAACTGTGAGCAATAACAATGATTAGACTTACCGATGGGTCTTCTCCACCGACTGTTTAATGGACCAAAAACTGACGTCATTCCACTTTGAGATTTTCACAAAGTCCTGATGACAGCAGTTTATATGAATTTTAATGAAACATCTTTGACATCATAGGGAAATGTCTTATGAAGTACATGAAGTGTACCTTCAGTTCCTTTTCGATGGGTTGCCGGAGTTTACTGATGCTTGTTTGAACAGTTTCAGAGAACTGTGTGTAGTAACAAGTCAAGTTCCACAGCAAACTGCACAGAGCCTCTGAAATCAACAATACACAGATGTAAAACTACACCCGTAATAATATACTTCTTGACTGAGCTAGCGTTACTAATAGTATTTTTGGTGTCATAACCGTCATGATTATTGCCCAATTTGGTTAATTAACTGTAGGTTAAAAGGTGAGATCCATCAGATGACCTTAGTGATGTGTTAATGATCCTGCTGCCACTCAATGGGATTGTCTGAGACCGTGTGCATGCGGAGGTCAAAAGCTCAAAGTAGTGCTCATGGCCATGCCAACCAGGTCACCGGATCCATATGGTCATCAATAACCTGATAACTATTCTCAATTCTTTCCTAGTATCGATAGCAATAGTATTTCTTGATGCTCACATAGAACACCTTTATCAGAGCAGCCAACTGTAAGGTGGGGAATTTGTTGGTAGCTCACACCTAAGACGTCCAAAATTGTTTGATATGAGATTGTATTAGTTTGCATAATTAAAATAAATCCTGTTGAGAGTATTATTGGATGGATACAGACCTTGTCCTGGCTGCTCTGGGACTACCAAAAGGTGGCAGTGGAAGCTCTGTAGCATGGTCAGGCGTGTGTGGTACTCTCCCAAAGTGGATCCCTCCATGAAGGCTTGGAGTGTGGAGCCCACAGACGACAGCGTTAGCTGCTCCAGGACTTCCTCACCTTATAACAGAAATATACATTTCTAATTTCCAAGATGCATGAAAATGATTAGTGGTGTGTGTTAAGCAAAAAATAAATTTGAGATTTCAAATATCTGGTGACGTGTCAGTTAACTGATGGATTTTCAGATGCAAAGTTAAATTAATTTTTACAGTGTTTTTAGAAAGAAATCTGATCTGATCATGATCCCATTGTAGTCAGTGGCTATGTTCAGACCATCCACCCAAATCTGATTATTATGATTTCTGGAATTTTAAGGTTATTTTAATGACATGTAAACCACGAAATCAGATGTAAATACTATGATCTGAAGAAACCAGATAATTTAGCCGTTTACAAAAAAAAAAAAAATCAGATAATTAGAGTGTGCTTTAGATATTATTTTTGTTAACAGCATCTTGATGAAATTGTACCTTCATGTGGTTCCTCCCTCTGCTCTTGAAGATACCTCTCAATCAGCTGATAGACAGAGAACCAGTGTCTGGTTGACTTCTCAGTGTGGCGTTTTACTGCGTTATCCAAACTACTTGACCAGCAACTGCACCACAGACACATGCAAACGGTTTAATAATACATTTTTAGAAGCAAAATATAAATATTTTATTTTCAATTCTAAGTAATAACAATCAAGATTTAAGAGAAAAAATACATATGACATGATTAAGCTAAATTTGTGTTAACAATCATTACATACAATCCAATAATTAATGGGCAGGAGGTTTTTGATTTTCTTCAGATTATTTTCCTTTTAAGATATCACGTAGCACAGTCCTACCTGAGTTCAAGTTTGCGCCACTGGATGATGAGCTGAGTTACAGGCTCCAGCTCCTTCCTGAGAGATACGGAACGGCTGGCATTGTTCTCCCAGTCCTGCAAGAGAGCCACAGGGGGTCACCACCACCAAGTCAGAACCAGTACACAGCAATACTCCATTTTGGTTATGATCAAAAGAGCTGACCTGGGCTTTACTGAGGAGGATCTCAAGGCCATTAAGAAACTTGGCCAGAGGACTTGCCAGACTAAAGGCCAAAATCCGCTCAGTCACAACTGTGAGCTGAACACACCACAGATATTATGCACTTGTATTTTCTTAGTTATTATAAATAAAAGTATCATCACTAGTACCACACCTGGACCAAAGCTGGGTGATCGGGCCACTCCTCCAGTCTCTGCTTCACCGCTAGGATGAGCTGCTGCAGCACAGGCAGGCAGAGCCGTGCCTCACTCATGTTTGGCTGCTGGTAGAAGTCATAAGGTCCCTCTGGGCACAGCATCAGTGCACCTGGGCCACCAACACCCTGCACTGTGTTTTGCAGGAGAGCAGACACAAGCAGCTCACTCCCAGACAGTTGCTGGTCCAGTTCTGAGTCTGGTAAAAGCAGTGAAAATATGTCAGTAAAAGATGACTAACTAACAACTACAACTACCATGCACTGACCTATAAAGTGGTAAAGGTGTAATATCAGAGGAGCAGCTATCTGATAGGAAGAAACCAGGGCGTGTATGTGTTCTCTGCTCTGATTGACTGGAGGTTTGCTGCAATACCATAAAGACCGAGCATATCCAAGGCAGAGGCGCTGGTGTATTTGGATCACCATGTTTAGGGCACTCTGGGACAGAATGCTGTTCTCATTTGATTCATCCTTAGCATTGTCTGACCCTGATGAGGAAGCTTCAAGGCCCTCCAAACTTGGCTGGCCCACAATATCTGCAAAGTCCTGTATGCCACAAACAAAACACATGGAATTTTGTTAACAGCAATTTTATTATGTTGTATCAACAAACATTTTCAACTGGACATATCCTGTGGGTTGCTTTAGATAACTTAGAATGCAATACATAGTCTGGTAGAGGTACCTGGTGGAAGAGTGGAAATTGCTTCCTAAATTCTCTCTCATCTTGTTCGTCTTCAGTAAGATCAGAGCCGTGTTGTCTGCTGCGGTACAGACTAGACTCTTGCTGCTCTCTCTCTCTGCGTCTGCGCTCCTGCTCGTCCCACTCATTCACCAGAGCCTGCAGAGTCAGGACTTAATCAGTCACACATCACAATCAGCTTTACAAGTTCATACAAAGAGCTGTACAGATGGAAATGTTGACTGCAGCTACAATATAGAACTACATACATTTGGTTCAGCACATCATAAAAAAAAAAATCTATTAAATGATTGACCTGGCAGATATGTCTGAAGAGGTTGCTGGCCTCAGTGCTCAGCTTTCCAGTGGTCAGGGCATGGCATTGTACATACAGTAGGGCAGTCAGAAGCAGATCTGATGTCTGGGGAGCCACATGGCCATCTTCTTGAGGAGGATGGAACTTCAGCAACACCTGCACTACCTCCATACATGTTTTAGAGCACAGGAAGTCGGCCCGCGCCAAGTGTGAAGGCAGGTCCGGGGTCAGCGATGGGAAGGCAAGCAGGCAGGACAGGAACCGAGACAATCCTGGAGTAGGAGTGAGGGAAGAAGCCACCTGAGCAGACACCAGCCTCATACCATAACGCAGCTGTAGGATCCCAGTGTGTACAGGACCAACCACATCAGGGAACATTGGGAATGTTTCCTGTAGCCTGACACAGAAGCGCTGCTGAGAGTTTTGCCACACCTCCTCCTCTTTCAGCAGGCTCTGCGCTGCTGCTCGGGAGACAGGACTCTGGAGTGCCCCCTGTAAGTTTGAGAGAAGCTTCTGGACTGTGGAGAACTGGCCGATGGTACAAAGGTAGTGCTGAAGCTCCTGGAAAAGACGGCCATACTGAGATTCACCTGGGCGACAGGCTTGTTTCCTTGAAAGTTCTGCGATCAGTTCCTTCAGCTGCTGCATACGGACCCATAGGTATCTGGACAGGACAGACCAGTTAGAGACGTAATAATAGGTAAAACATATATCGAGCATTACAGATTGAGCACACAGTTAAACCAGTTGTGGGCTGCCACACCAAAGACAATGACCACTATGACACTCTACATAACCATTTTGTTTTTCTGACCTAATTCGAGGATGCTGGAACCCATCTGTTATACTGTTTTCCTCCAGCTCTACACCAGTCGTAAGCTGAGACAAAAGACTCCGACCCCTCCACTCCTCTAGCAGCTGCATCAACTACAAAAGATGGTATTTCATTAAGAAGAAAAAAATAAAATAAATAAATAAATATATATATATATATATATATATAAACTATATAGAAGGACGCCTCCTACCTCCTGTTGGGCGTACTTCAGTTTATATGCTCTCTTCACAGCAGGATCAAATATGGTCTGTGGAGTCCACACTCTAATCTGAAGAAGACCCATATGAACCCAGAAGGCTCCTGAAAGTATCAGGTTGGGCCCATGGAGCCTGCTTTGAATGTACTGTTGCACACAAGAGCTGCATGCATCTAGCAAACCATCTGGAAGCAGTTTTGGAGGAATGAAGTCTCTGAAAAGGGTGTGGATCTCCTGTGCTGGGATGCAAGGGTCTGGAGCTTCCACTAGACTTTCACAGCTCTCCATGTACCCCTCCTGCAGGCTAAGAGGGAGCAGATCTGCCATACTCTGGAGCTGCCGACGTAACACTGCCCCCTGCAGACTGAGGTCTGTCCACCTGTTAAGACAGGGCACCTTGAATCTTTTATACAAACTACTTTACGTTTCATCTTAACTTTCTAATTTTCTAATGTCATATACACTGAAAATAATATACAATAAAATACAAATTACAGTTTAGCTGTTGTGCAACATGCAAGAGGAGATAAATGCCATACCTGAAGTCAGCCAGGATAGGAAAGGCCATGTTCTCCAAAACCACAGATGACAAATCCCGAAGCTGCTGAACTCTCTCCCTCCACTCCCCCAGAGGTAGAGGGGATGAGGTCAACAGGCTTAGGCCAGATGGATCCCACCGAGTCCCGGTGCCACTGCCACTCAACACTCCCAGCATGCAACAGGACCACACAGCTTTACTTAACAAAGCGGGGCCCTGAAATATTAAATTGTTAATTAGTGAATCTAACCTTGAACTGTACCAAAACAAAATAGTTATTACCATTGTGTGGGCTCTTTTTGACAGTTTGTGTGGGAGGGGACCCTCTGTGCTCAGGGGATCAAAGGTAAGCCAGCGTTCTGGATCAGAAGTGACACTGCTGGACCACAGAAGTTCAAGACCCTCGGACAATAGCTCGCACCACACCTGCTGCAGCGCCTCTGCTGGCTGGACATACACAACATACAAAATATATAGCATTTTTATACATATACATTTTACTGGTTTCTCGTGTTTCATGCTCTTTCAAATATTCTACTTAGGACTGAAGGTTTATCAAGTGAACAATTACTACCAAAAACAGTGGAGTTAAAGGAGGCTGGCGAAGTACAGCAGGCAAGCCCCTAGCACAGAGGCGCCACCCCTTTCTGACTCAAAGGCTATTTATACATTCAGCAAAGTCAGAAGATCTACACACACATTTTTATCATTATTTTATATTCTTCTGTATTATGAGCACAGGGGGTGAGTGTTTAACTTGGCTTTCAGCTTTTATTGTAGCACTGTATTAATGGAGACCCACCTAGTTACATTATACTAAAATGAATCAACCTTCTACATAGAATTGTAAGAGGAATAATGCATTATTTGTTTGATGAAACAATTAATTGTGATTGATGATTATTAGCTGACCAAAGCATTCTCTTGGCATATATCTCTGAAGAACCTTTAGATAAATATGTGTATGGTATCCTGCAACTCAGAGCAACTCAATAGTGACTGTGGTGGGTGTGTTAGACTAACCCGATCTGACTTCAACAAAAACCACAGTGCCTGGTAGTGTCTGACATTCAGAGCAGTAGAGTGCAAACAGAAGTCCAGGTGTGAGGATATTTCTCCACGCAAAGCCTCCTCAGTTTCTGGGTCACTATCATAGACAAAAGGCAAGCTTTTTAAAGAAAGTAAATTTCTAATATAACGTACAATAATAACATTATTTATAAGGTTTGGCTAAGACATATTAACTAGGTGACCTTGATCATAAAAACTTAAAATTTACTTTTGACAGTTACTGGAATCATAATGGTCTGCGTGCATATCTAAGTGCATACCTAGGTGCCAGGGCCATGTGCAGCAGAGCAGTGCTGAGCCGGACCTGGTTGAGGATGGCGAGATACTCCGTAAGAGGCCACAGCTGGGCTCTGTGACAGAGCTGCTGCAGCTGGTCTCTGCTCAGGGGCCCATCATTAGCCTGGTCATCCCCAAAGAAGGCCTCAGCCTCAAGGAGCCCACAGCTGATCATGTGGCGACGCTGCTCCTCAACTATTTGCTCCAGCTTTTCTAATACTCCTGGCAAGCACAAAGTGTATGTATTTATATATTTATACATTTATGTATGATAACGTTATTCGGACCAAAACAGTAACAATACAGAGGAAAAATAAAATAATACATTTGATGGATCCCAAACAAAAGAATATGGGAGGAGCTCACCAGACTGTTGTGGATCAAGCTGATTTTTGGCCATCGAAACAAGGCCCCAGGCTTCAAGAAGAGCCTTTTTTACATCTAGGCCCAGTCCAGCTTCATAAAGCCGTAGCAGGTCCAGCTTTGAGCTCTGAGAGGCTCTAGTGAGACTGAGGTCACAGACATCCAGAACTTTGGAGAGCGATCTGAGCTGAGAGGCACAATCTGCTGCACTTTCCAGCTGCAGATTAGAAACACAGGTGTTAACTTGGTACATTATATTCGGCCATGCACACATATATATTAGATCAAGGCTGAATGTTTTTCAGATTTCTGATAATATAAAAACTGGATCTATATTTCGAAGTTACTCTCTTGACTATGGTAATGAAGACACGGTTTCTCAGTCCTCTGCTTTACTGCTTTATTGATGTATTGCTTTACTTATTTATTTATCCATTCTCTATACCGCTCTGTTGTTTTGACATGAATGGACCATGCATTTCTGATGGTCAAAAACAACCATTGGAAATTGGGGAGACAGAATACAGTCCTAGAGCCACACATTTTGTAAAGTTTTGTAAAAGAGTGTGGTTTTGTCTGGCCAAGCAAGGAACTTAATAAAGTGCTGATAGACTTACCTTAAATGGCAGAGCCTTCCCCAGACTCTTCTGGATTCCTTTGAGGACAGTGGCTACAGACATGGAGGAGGACAGAAGGCTCTGGATGGCAGTTGACACAGCCTGGAGCTCTGGACTATTACCAGTTCTAGTGAGAAAACAGAAAAGTCAAAGTTTGTTATGCTGCTAAATGCACAGCCCCATTTAAAGTTTAATGTTGCCAGGTCTCAAGGCTGTGCAGGACATTATCAGGGTTATCACAAATGTTTATGTTTTAAAAAGCAGTCTCACTGATGTTCCCAAAAATGTATTGATTTAAGTGTTTTTATTAAATCAAAGGACAAGAAAGTGAAGAATTTTAACAGACATAAACTTTACATTCTTAAAAAATATAATTTCTTACTCATAAGTAGCCTCAGTCTCTTCAGTGAGCAGCTGGGGAAGCCTAAGAAGAACGTGTTTGTGAACCCACTGCCAATGCAGCGCCAGCACAGCAACGCCATGATGATCTGGAGATACCATACTAGACACATCCCAGAAACGGTCCACCCATTGCAGCAACTGAAGGACCTACAACATGGAAAGTTGTTAGGATTTCTACTATACATGCAATTGCAAAACAGATGTTATAAAAGATGAATTCTTACCTCAAACATAATGTGGTCTGAGATGTGAAGCTGTCCCATCTGAATGGCCTCCATGATGAAAGAGTTCCACAGGTCAAAGAAAGGTTGAAGGTGCATTAGCACAGGGTGAGCCAGGTGACCTATGTCCACACCCCCTAAGACAAGACAATAGATATGATAATATTAGTTAGTAAATAAGAACAACACTGTTTACTCCATACCTTTGCTGAATGCTATGGCTCCTCGGAGAGCGCTGTCCTGAGAACAGGCATTAGTTGAACAGGAGCAGATGACTTCCCGCTCGTGACGATCCATCAGCAGAACCATCCTATATCACAGAGACGCAGTTTTACTTTCCCATTTACCATCACTCAAATCATCCAAATTGTAAAGAGGTTATTAAGTCTATAAAAAGCTATATGAGTCTAGAAATTTTAATATGATTATTATAAACCTAATATGACACAAACCTGTTGGCGACATCACTGAGAGCCTCTAGAAACTCAACATATCGCTCCTCATCCTCAAACTTGCACTTATTGGCCAACATCTCCAGGTACTGCTTGTTCCAGCGCATGTCTGCTTGAATTAGAAATTCATCTGGCAGAAAAACAGAAGACTTATGTGTGATACACATAAATATTTACACTATAATACAAAAAAGAGGGAAATGAGAATGTTCAATTGAAATTAATTGACATGCATATCTAATGGCACATCATGTTTTGTTGCTATTGTGTTGATAAGTGGCATTATTTCAGGTTCAGGTTAGTTAATTTGCAATAAAGAAAAAAATGTGTACTATGTGTATTAATTGTATAGACAAGTGTCTGACAGAAGATCTTACCAGTGCTGTGCGGCTGGAGCAGCTGTGTGAGAGACTTTCCCTTCACACAGAGCTGACTGCTCAACACAGCCTGCAGAGCTCTGCTTGCTGCCTGCACTTGTACCAGGACTGATTCTGTAACAGAAAATAGTTCACAATATCTCCAGCTGCATCTGAAACTCTGTGTGCCTAGGTGAAAAAAGACCCACCAGGAACATGCTTGTAGCTGTTAGCAAGATGAGTTAAGAAGCTGCAGCGGAGGGGCCAGTCCCCGTGAGAGGTTCTCTCTGTGAGCAGTCTCACAGCTGTGGGGACCAGGGTGAGAGGGCTCCACTCTGAATCCAGTGCCTCACCAGAGAACAGCAAGCTATCCCTAGCACCACTGAGCAAGGTCTGCTTAAGATCACTCAGATTGAGAGGACGATTTCTAACACACAAAACATCGTTATGATTGAATTTTATTTAATATTTTAGATTAAGTTATCATGCTTACCTTTTACCCTCAAGGCTCAATGCGTTCAGACAGAACAATAGGACTTGTCCATCTCGTAGAACAGAAGCAAAGCAGGAGTCTTCAGTGGAGAAGTGGGCAGAGGGCAGGCTACTGGGCCACACTCCAGCACACATTAAAGCCTGTCCCCAGGATCCTGAGTCCAGGGAGGACACATGCTGCTCTATAAGCTGCTGAGCATGCTGGAAAATAATTCATAAAATTAATAACTTTAAGTTTTATTACTACTACAAACCATGAGTAAGAGAAGTAGGATGGAGTTACCTTTTGGTTGATAGTAGTGTGTTGGCTCAGAGAGTAAGCCTCTACACAGGCCTGTAACATGGCAGAGGGCAGGTCCACACCTCTCTGGAGCTGAGCGGAGAGCAGACAGGTCGCGTGGAGCAGGGAGGAAAGTGACGAGGCCGGGGAATCTGCGCAGAGTGACGCATCAAGCATGTTAGACGTAATTTTTTGTTTTCACAGAAATTAAAGCAGGCATCTGACATAAACATAGAAGGCGAGCCTTAGGGGTATGTGGGGGAAAATAGTTTTCTTCACACTGTTCATGTATGAGGTTATTTGGTCTTACATACTAGGCAATCATTAGACAAACTTAGGCAAACTTTATTGATCCACAATAATATAATAATAATGTATATATAACAAGGAGGATAAATGCAAGTAAAAAAAAATTGTTCGCCTCACCCCATATGTTTTCTTTGATGCTGTTATGTATTTGAATGAGCAGATCACACACACTGTCTCCCATCACTCCTGCAGTGTTCAACAAAGTCTTTATGTCCTGAACACTCCAGCACTGGCCCTCATGTTCCCCTGGGACATACACCTCCACCCCACGGTTCCTCATGGCCCGGGACAGCTCCCCGTGTGCAGGGTCCATGGTCAGGAACAGCCTGAGCACACAAAATATTCAGTATATAGTGGTAGGTTGAGGGTAAGAGAAGATAACAGGGGAATGTAAAGGCTTACCTGAAATTGGGATGTGGAGTAATTTTGGGTGTGCTCCCGTCTATGGTTCCACGTTCATTAATAGTAAGAGCTCCATTAGGTTCAAGCAGAGCATTGAGACGATCCAGAACTGATGCACTGGGGAGTAGATAAAAAAATAAAGACTTGTACTGCAGATATTAATTTCTCACTTTTTCTCACTTTTCACAACTTTCAGAGACCAACAACAACTAGTATTCTAATTTATTATATGATAATCAGGAAGTTAGCATTCAGATAACAAAAAGCTTTCTAATTAGATACAGACAGAACGCAGAGAACTTATTTTGACCTCAAGAGCAGTTTATAGAGTATATCTTTGTTGGGGCAAGTTCTCAAATACCTGTGAAAAAATGACTGGGCCTTTTGAGATCAGTGAGATCAATGAGCTCAACACACAATTAAATGATCTGTGTAATAAACAGTGAATAACATATATTTTTAAATGTGCATTTATCTCACCTGCAAAAGTTGACATTGTCCATGAGCAGCCAGTCTCCAATCTGGAGAGCCTGAACCAGCATCCCATCATGCCACTCAAACCCTCCATTAGAACAGCCCTCCTCCAGTTGTGTCAGCTGCGCCTTCAACTGGGCAAAGTCCATCTGCAACCTGGACATATCTGACACCAAAAAGGTGTTACAGGAGTGAAAGACATAGCTAAAGTGTGTATAATATACAAGTATTACCTGTGAAGACCTTAAGCTTGGTGTTGAGTTTCTGAAGTAGAACAATGATGGCCTCTAGTTTGTTGATTGCATCAGAGGTGACTGTATTTCCCACCCTCTGAGGACCTTCTGCCTTGACCCAATCACAGAACAGTCCCCAGGTCTGAAGCAAGAACTCTGTATCCTGCACCCCCACATCCAGAGACATCAGTCCCCGTCTTGTGACCATAGCAACTGTATAGTCCACAATTTCCAGCATTTGTTGCCATGGCCTCATGATGTCCACCTTAACAAAATATATATAATGAAATATTTAAACATAGTATGAA